AAAAAAAAAAAAGCACGAGATACAGCTATCTGTACCAACATGGAAGGCTTGCTGAATAAACAAACTCAAAAAAATTCAAACTGTTGAATAAAAAAAGTCATTGAACAATATACATATATGATTCAATTAAGGAAATACAAATCTCTTTCATTGTCTTTCTCTACACTTGCATTTGCTTAGAAAAAAGGTCTGGAAAAACATACTAATTATACACTAACCCTTCTCAGTTGTTACCATTAGGGTGGAAGAATGGACAAAGTGTGAATATGCCGGGGGACTTCTACTTTTTATTGTGTATACATGTTTACATTGTTTGCCATAAATAAATCAAACATGTTATTTTCATACAAATTTGAAAAAAGAAAAACCCCAAGTCTGTGATTCCCAGAACCATGTTCTTCCTATTACATAATGACGAGTCACAAACTGAATAAAACTACAAGGCAGCACAAAGGTACCAAGTGCAAGAAAAATATTCCATATTGCAGTAGTTCAGAGCTAAGTCACTGTGAATTTGGTATACTTAAAAAAAATTATATGGAGATTAACTAAAATAAAGACGAAAGAATATTCCATGCAAAGTGAGGGCAGGCATGTTCCAAACAGGGCACCAACCATCTATAAAATGGTTCACTGGTGTTCAGGGAGGAGCAAGCATATCTCTGGTAGGGAGAGAGTGTTTGTGCAGAGGAGAGTGAAACAGGGCTGGGAAGACAGAACTTTCTGCAGTGATATTGCCAAATTGCTCTCCAAAGTTGACTGTCCACTTTACATCCTTATCTGTTGAATATGAGAATTCCCACTGGTCCCCAGTCCCAACTATTCATGGCATTGTTAAGTAGACTTTTCACTTCTTGCCAATCTGCTGGGTATGAAATGATATCTCCTTGTGAATTTAAGGATTTTGTCTTTTTCTTATGGATTTGTAGTTTTTTATGTATTTTGAAAATAAACCCTTTGTTGATTATATGCATTACTAGTATCTTCTATCTGTGACTTATTGTTTTGCTTTGTTTATGCTGTCTTTTGTTATAAAGTAGTATTCAATTTTTTTTTTTTAAAGATTTTATTTATTTATTTGACAGAGAGCGCAAGAGTGCACAAACAGGGGGAGGGTCAGAGGTAGAGGGAGAAGCAGACTCCCTGCTAAGTAGGGAGCCCTATACGGGGCTCGATCCCAGAACCCTGAGATCATACCTGAGCCCAAGGCAGATGCTTAACTGACTGAAGCTACCCAGGTGTCCCAGTATTCGATTTCAATATAGTCAGATTGATTAGTTTTCCATTATGGTTTGGACTTCTTCAGAAAGCCCTGCCCACTCCAAAATCACTAAGATAGTCTCTATATTTTCTATAAAAGTCTAGATGCTTAATCTACCTGGAACTGATTTTTGTGAAAGAGGTAAGAATCCAGTTTTGTTTCTTTCCACAGTGATAATCAATATTTTAATAGTTTATCACTTTCCCATTCAGCTAAACAGTGCTACCACTCTTATACATTGGGTTCCTATTTTTCTTTGCCTTTAAAAGAACTAGCTTTATTAGGTATAAATGAAATATAATAAAATTCACTGATAGTACGTGTAAACTTTGACGAGTTTTGACAAATTTATATATCCATGTCCCTATCTCCATAATTGAGATATAGAACATTCCTGTCACTACAAAAAGTTCCTTGTGTCCCTTTGCAGTTAATCCACTTTTCTCATGCTCAGCTCCAGTTAACCACTATATTCTATTAGTCTAGTTTTGCCTTTTCTGGAATTTCATATACATGGAATCACACTTCTGGAGTGATGGAAATGTTCTATTTCATGACTATGATGGTGGTTCCATAACTGTACACATTTGCCTAGCCCAGCAAATTATACAATTAAACTTGGTGAATTTTACAGTATGCAATTTATAACTCTAAAAGGTGACACACAAAGAGACGCACAAATTCACTGGTACATCTTGGACCTTGACTGAATCTTTTACCCATGCATGATTTTGTAATATTATTCATTGATCATTTGGAAAATACCAACTCATTGAATCACACAAATCTTCCCAAATATTAACACATTTCATTATACAATACCAAAAAAATCATACTCAGTATCTTCACTGGTCTCAACAGAAAGGTCTTTAGTATTAGGAATGTGATAAGCTCATGATTTTTCAAAACTCTAATTTTCAGTGCTCGCTTCGGCAGCACATATACTCAAAACTCTAATTTTCACTTGAAAGCTTGAATTTTATCATTGGCAACTAATACCGTTAAGTTGTTTTCCTTGAAGTAACAGATTCACTGCATTAATTTTTGAGAAACTATCTGCAAAATATAGTCTGAAAAATCAGTGTTTGTCAGTTATTCTTCACATAAAAATGATATTCCATGAAAAAGCAGCTGGTTTGGCTCACAACTCAAACAAGCACAAATGCTCTTCACTAAGGCAAGCTTGACTCTTGGGTATGCAACAGAAATGCTGTAGGTATATTTTACACTTCATCACAAGGAATACCGACGTGTACTCTAGGGTCGAAATTTAACAAAGTCAACAAATTCTACTGCTTCATCGAGGATATTCTTAAGGGACTCTGTTTTGGGGCTTTTTTTTTTGAAGATTTTATTTATTTGACAGAGAGAGACACAGTGAGAGAAGGAACACAAGCAGGGGGAGTGGGAGAGGGAGAAGCAGGCTCCCCTCTGAGCAGGGAGCCCAACGCAGGGCTCGGTCCCAGGACCCTGAGATCATGACCTGAGCCAAAGGCAGACGCTTAACGACTGAGCCACCCAGGTGCCCCTAAGATTTTATTTTTTTAAGTAATCTCTAAAACACCCAATTTAGGGCTCAAATTTATAATCCTGAGATCAAAAGTTGCATGCTCTACCGACTGAGCCAGCCAGGCACCCCTGCATTGTTTTTGTTTTTTGTTTTTAACTGCCAGTGAGTGGCAGTGAAGAATACGAAGTCTACTAACATTATTTGGGTCCACTGTCTTGATTGGTACTAAGGCACCAGCATTTCTGCCATCAGTATAAATGTCAGCACAGTGACAAAGACAACGTCTTGATATTATTATGAAAATAGTTTTGTTAAGCTCCCTGCAAAGATCTCCGGACTCCTACGGGTCGATGGACCATACTTTGGGAACCATTACTTTTAATTCTAGTGTACTTTCTAGAGTAAGCTCAAAACTCAGAATGTGGATCCTTTAAGTGTGAGATTCTAAAAGAGATATCTAGATAACTAATAAAAAGACACTTTCTAATTGGAAATCTAGAGGAACTTAAAAGGAGGCCTACAAGACCAATATGACTACCTAACTTCATTCACAAAACTTCAGCTTAGGGGTGCCTAGGTGGCTCAGTCGGTTAAGTGTCTGACTTCAGCTCAGGTCATGATCTTGGGCTCCTGGGATAGAGCCCCAGGGACCGACCAGCTTCCTGCTCAGCGGGGAGCCTGCTTCTCCCTCTCCTCTGCCCACTGCCGCCCCCCCTCCACCCCGGCTCATGCTCTCTCTCACATAAATAAATAAAATCTTTAAAAAAAAAATTTCAGCTTAAAATTCTTTAACCTTCAAATGTTTGCTTTCTTGATCATAAATAGTTAACTAGTTTTTTATATTTAAACTAATTATCCAAGAAATCACACAGCAAATAGATGAAGGAGGATCAAAAGAATCTTCAGTATAACAATCTAGACTAGCTCCTTCCTACCTTAGAGCCACTCGATACTTTTGCCCCAGTTTCTCAATTTCAGCCATTACACAGTCAGTTATACAAGGGATACCTGCCAGGAAAAAAAAAATACATATTAATAACAGAACTTGTAAAGAAACTTTGGTTTTACTCTCTGAATTATATCCCATTGAGAGTCTTTAAAAGATCCATGAGGCTTCTGGAATGACAGAATAACACACTGAAATGAACAATGAGAACTAGAGGTGAATAAAATCCCTTTTGATGAGGAGACTAGAGAACCGAACGGTCCCAACCCCACACTACAGATTCATAAAGTGTCATGAATGTGCCTGGGGGAAAAAAATTAAGCTAGATCCCTGTCATTCTTTCTATATTAAAATAAATTCTAGATGGAAAAAAATTTAAATATGAACCAAAAGAAACCATGCAATTAATCAGAAAATGTAAATTTGATCACATAAAAACAAAACACTTCTGTTTGACAGCTATCAAAGTCATATTAAAATACAAATAAACTAGGAAAAATATTTCTACACATTCATCAAAGGGCGAATTTCTTTAACATACAAAGAGCTTGTAATGATAGCTTAAGTTATGTGCTATTTGCCAGACACTGGGCGAAGCACTTTATGAGGATAGCTCACTTCATATTCAGAATAATTCCTATCAGGTAGCATTGTTATTATTATCATCCCCATTTTATAGATCAGGAACCTAAGGCACAAAGAAATAAGTAGAAGCAAATGGTGAAGCCGAGATGTGAACGGAGACAGTCAGGCTATAGACTTTTTTTGTTTGTTTTTTTAATTTCATTTTATTATGTTATGTTAATCACCATACATCATTAGTTTTTGATGTAGTGTTCCATGATTCATTATTTGCGTATAACACCCAGTGCTCCATTCAATATGTGCCCTCTTTAATACCCATCACCAGGCTAACCCATCCCCCCACCCCCTCCCCTCTAGAACCCTCAGTTTGTTTCTCAGAGTCCATAGTATAGACTGGATTCTTAACCACACGCTACATTTCAGTTCATACACTTCAGGTCATAGAGGAAGACACACAATGGTCAATGAGCATAAGGGTGCTCAATCTCACTCCTAATTAAAGAGCTATAAATTGAAACAGTATTTCATTTTCTACCTATTAGAGCGGCAAAGATTAAACAAGGAAAATACCCAATACTGAGGAAACAGGTATTCTCACACTAAGTAGGTGTAAAAATGTGTATCACTATTTTAGGGCAATTTTGCAACACCTGTTAAAATAAGAAAATATACATACCCCTTGATAATGCAATACAGCTTCTGGAAATGTATCCTAAAGAATTACTCTACCCTAACAGAGACATATTCACATAGATATTCACTACAACAGCCTTATTTATAATAAGGTAAAAACTACAAGTAGGGCGCCTGGGTGGCTCAGGTGGTTAAGCGACTGCCTTTGGCTCAGGTCATGATCCCAGGACTCGGGATTGAGTCCCGCAT